GCTGGCCTCAAACTCAGAAATCCGCCTGCCTCTGCCTCCCAAGTGCTTGGATTAAAGGCCTGCGCCACCACTGCCTGGCTCTTGGTGCACTCTTGGATAGGTGGACATTCACCTCCCACATCTTAGGGAGCTCTGACAGGACTCTTTCATCTCAGCTTGAGTCCTTGGTACTGAGGGAGGTGTTGTCTGTAGTCTCTCCCTCTTTTTTTAAAAATGGATTAATGGATCCATGTGGGCCCATTCTGCATTTTCCCAGGGGACAGTCAGCTTTGTTGCTGCTGACTCACGGTTAGTCCCCAGAATAGCAACATGGGGTGAGAGGAGAATGTATTCAGACTCTGAGGCTGAGCGCTCTGCCCACGGCTTTTTACAGGAGAAACTTGACTGTGCCGATGTGTCTTCTAGTGAAGACAGGGTGCTGCCAAGCCATGGAGGAATAGCTGGGTGCTGGGAGATGCTGGTCTTAGCAGGAGAGATTCAAATTGGACTCACATGCCATGTCTTTTTTCAGTGAATGTGTATATGTTTTAATCTCTTAGGTCTCAAAAGAAGATGGCAAATTCCTTTCCTGTTTTGTCCAAAGTCCCGGGATATGGCTTACAGGTAGAGATCTGGGCTTTTCAAAGGGGGTGACTATGATACCAGTAGCTAACAGGGGAGTTTGGATAGTGGGGGCTAGGGCTGCTGGAGGCCCAGCCTGCTCCTTATGCTTGAGTTCTTCGCCTCTTTCTGAGAGCCCTCCACGCAGAGAATCACTAGTTGGAGCACTTAGCATCCTGCCAAGAACTGCACATAATTACATATGCAGACCAGGCTGGTCTTGAACTTACAGTATACTTACCTTAGCGTTTTGTGTACCAGGATTCAGGTAAGCCTCGCACACCTACGTGCAGCTATATAGTCACGTGATTACTTTTGGCACTTTAAAGAACCTTCCTTCTTTCCCCTGCTTTTCTGCATTTCTATATGAACAGCTATGTTTTCCTATGACTGATTTCTCCTCTGTTCCTTAATGATACAGGTGAGGGACTCTGACCGTCACCAGGGGCTGCAGGGTTCTCTGGGTGAACAAAGGGTGATAAAGAACCATTCTCGATCAAGAAGCTCCTCACCCCCCAGGCATGTCAGCAAGAAGAGCACCAAGGAAGAAAGGGCCCGGGACAAGAGGTCTCGATCCCCTGGAAGAAGGTCACAGTCCCCAAGGCCCAGCAAACAGTGAGTATGGGGATTGAATGGGAAATAATCTGTGACTCTAAAGGCCCGGGGGTTTGCCTTGGATGATGTTCATCACCTCCATCCTCAGATGTCTCAGCTTTATTTTCTCTGCCAGCATGGTACCGTCACGGGGCAGTCACGGTGTATCCACAGTGCAGTCACAGTGTAGTCACAGTGCAGTAACAGTGTAGTCAGTGTAGTCACAGTGCAGTCACAGTGCAGTCACGGTGCAGTCACGGTGCAGTCACAGTGCAGTCACAGTGCAGTCACGGTGCAGTCACAGTGCAGTCACAGGGTAGTCACAGTGCAGTCACGGTGCAGTCACAGTGTAGTCACAGTGCAGTCACAGAGCAGTCACAGAGCAGTCACGGTGCAGTCACAGTGCAGTCACGGTGCAGTCACGGTGTAGTCACAGTGCAGTCACAGGGTAGTCACAGTGCAGTCACGGTGCAGTCACAGTGCAGTCACAGTGTAGTCACAGTGCAGTCACAGAGCAGTCACGGAGCAGTCACGGAGCAGTCACGGTGCAGTCACGGCGCAGTCACGGCGCAGTCACGGCGCAGTCACGGCGCA